CTCACAGAATTGCGTCGATGAATCTTGGTTTGCTCCCACTATATATCAAAAAAAAAGAAAGATGAAATTTGATCAAGATTTTATTACGCTTACTCAATGATACTGTTATTTTAGGTGTCTTTTTTTCTTTTCTCTCTCTTCCCTTTTTCTTCTTCAAACTTAGACGCAACAGTAAAATCGACATAAATTCTAAGGTCAACTGAGAAAGAAAAGTCATTGATTTATTTCTTTATCGGGAATAAAAAAATTCTGACTAACTAACGAAAATGTCGTCGTTTATTAAAATTGTATCTTCGAAATAACTGAAAAACGGAAATGATGAATTACGAAAGAAAAAGAAAAGATGAGTTGATATATAGAAGAGTTTCTCTTACATTTAAATATTTATTAAGTTTTTATTATTAAGGTAAGAATTTCGTTTTATTTGGGGTTTTCATCAGAAACTAAAGTGAGATAAAGAGAAAGATTTTATTCTTTAAACTTCATCTACATTTTTGTTCATAAAACATGAGAGAAGAAAACAACGTTCCTTTTTACTTCCCATGTCGATAGGACACGCGAGCGATACATGTATCGACACAGTCCTCTGACACATGTAACTTCAGTCACATTTTGACAGTGTCATCACTGTGTCATGGTGTGTCCACACATGTACGGTCATAGTGTCGCAATCATGTCTGTGTCGCTTTTTGAAATCATCCTATTAGTTCATTTTTAGTCGCTAGGCAATTATTATTAATATATATTTAATATTTTCTAGTAGCATTTACTGCGCAATGCCTTTATTTCAATCAAAAACTCAGTATTTTACAAAAAAAATACCAACACTTACACAAAAGAATAAAATATGCATAAAAAAAATAAAATATATATAAAAAAAACAAAAAAAAAAATAAGAGACACATAAAAATTAAATAAAAAAATATAATTCGCGCTTTCATTTTTTGTAGAACGGCCATGTTTTTCGAGTCAACTTCTGCAAATTTATCAAAAAAAACGATTAAATAATATAAAGATTTTTAAAAAATTTTTTACCTGAATTTATTAATAACTTGACTAAAAAACTTGAATATAATATTTTATAATACAACATCTAAAATTGAATTGAATTGAGCTTAAGCACGAAATTTCAAATTTATATATGATGACCCATGTCAGCGCGAACGCTATCGGTACGTGTACGGTACGCTTGTATTTTTTGAATTGATATGCATTTTTTTTCATTTTTATAAATTAATATTTGGTTTTTGAATCATTTGCATCTCATGTTTAAGAAAATTCTATATATTAATGCAGAAATTAAATAAAAATATTTTTTTATAAAAATAAAAAACTAAAGTATTAATATAAAAATGATTTTAACTTACGATTCCTTGTTTTTTTTTTAATTGAAAAAAATTATCTAAATAAAAATTACACTAAAACATAGAGATTATATACGAAAAACGAGTAAGAAATATTCAAATAAAAGCCTTTGTCTATTCAACCATTGTTGAATTACTAGCGTGTCCTATCGACATGGATTGTTTAAGTAGCTAAAGAAGGTTATTTTATTATGTGAATTTGAACTGGCCTATTTCTATAAGAGACAATTTCCTTTTCATTCACATGATGAAATAGAGAATTTGAATTGATTTAAAATTATTCGCAATAAAGTAGTCAAGGATATTGTCAATTCAATTGTGAAATCTAATATCAGGTTAAATAATGTAAACGAATGTTAATTAACTTGATCAATCAATATCAAATGTATATTTCATTTTATAAAAAAACAAAAGATGTCGAATAAGATGAAATTGAAGCAAATGAAAGTATTGCGCAGTATCTTCTTTGTCATTTTTGGACTATCACAGAACATACTTCTCTTTCTTTCGAACACCTAAACATTGTAATACGTCATATTCGTTTATTTTATGTAGGAAAGAAAAGCAAAATAGAGTATTTCTTTCGTTCGAATTGTTAGAGTTTTCTTCAATTTTCTAGTCACACTTTTGTTCCATTTCAATAACCGACATGAAGTTCTAATTTTGTGATTAATAATTGACTAAACTAAATCGAAGAAAGTACTTTTCTCGATTTCTACACAACTTTTGAATTATTTTCTTATGTCCATATTTCAATTGGTATTCAAAAAGATTTTAAGAAAGATTTTCTTTTTCTTTATTCGAATTAATGATGAAAAGAAACGGAGTTAAGATAGAAGAATTTGAAGCAAATCAATAAAATAAGCGTTGATTTCGACTATAACAAATATTAGATAATAATTTTTATTTATTTTTTTTCTTTATTCATAATTTATTTGCTATGATTATCCTTCTGAGTCAGAATGGTCCTAAAGGAGCAGCTGTCTCATAACGGATATACGAAAGATGCCCACGACGAAACTTATGTATGGATCAAAATATTAGGCTTCGAAGCAATACAGACTCTGCCAACCACACCCACACCCATTTGATATCTACCACGTTGACAATCGCTAGTGAGTCAGATGAACTACGGTTAGACAAACAATGTAAGATATAACCAAATACATCTATATGATAGACAAATTGTTTAGAATGATAGACAGAACAAATCAATCTTTCTTCTTCATGCCATATCACACGATTCACATTTAAGGGAACTCTTCCTTCTTTCTGGGATTTTTCGAGAATAGCTCATCAGAAAATTTTGAAACTTTCATAGCTGATAGCTCTCGGTGTGTAGAATAAAAGTTGCCATAGACTCAAAATTCCAAAATGCTGCTTTCTAGGAGATATTGGAGCCACAATGGCTAAAAATCGTCCCCTTTTCTCAGCCGTAGTACGTCCTATAGAGCTGAAATTTTTTTATAGATACTAGAAACCGTTTAAGGTATCTACTTTTCTTGGGTTTCTTTCTATCTCGTTCTGTTCGAACAAAAAAGGCCCAAATACGAAGGGTACCTTAAAAAACGCATATTTATTTTTTTGGATAGTACTTTTCTTGTGAGATCTCCAAACACTCAATGGTATAATATTTTTCAAAACAAAAAAAATGGGTACCCTTAAGTATATCTACTATCTGTAAAAAATATTTTAGATCGATCGGATGTTCTGTCGCTGAGAGATATGGAAGATTCTGTAGATTTCTGCTGAAAAATCTGGTTTCTAGAAAATTAGAAAAGAAAGAAAAAATCGTACTATACTCCTACAGCAATCAAGTTATATTTTCGATCTTATTTTTGATTTAGACATATTTTCGAGTTCTCAAAATGTCACCAATAGAGAGAGGGCACTTGAAAGTGGTAACACGACTGTTGCTTCCGCGACAGTTGCTCCCCGGACACTTGCTCCCGCGGCAGAGTTATGGATATGAGTGTGAGTGTCAGTGTGGGTGTGGGTGTGGGTGCGAGTGTGACCGTCGATGGGTGTGAATACAGGCGCGACTCTGGGTGTTGGGATGGGTGGGAGTTTGACTGTGGACGGGTCTGGATGCGGGTGCGAGTGTGAATGTGGGTAGATTTTGATGCAAATGTGAGTGTTGGTAGGAGTATGTGGGTGCGACTATGGATGTGGGTGTGGGAGATGCGGTGGCTGTAAATGTCCATCACTTCTTTGCCCACTCACACCGACATCCGTGCCGCGAAACCGAGTTTCGGAGGAGTAGTTGTCGCTGGGGAGCAAGTGTCGTGTGAACAAGTGCCCGGGGAGAAAGTGTCGCTGGAGAGCAAGTGTCCCGGGAGCAACTGTCGCGGGAGCATCTCTCATGGAATTCTTGAAAGTACATGTGGAGCAGAAAAAATGAAAAATTTGGAAATTTTGGGTCTGGAAAGGGAGGAGGAGTCCCCTTAAGCACGGTTGTTCCAGTAACAAATAAACGTCTAAGGATTTAACCATTTTGTTTAGATATTTTATCCAATATTCATAGAATGGATCATCAAGAGCACGTTCCTCGTAAGCGAATGCGAAAAATAAATCGTTCCAGTTATGAGAGTAAAATGACCCCTTAAGCGATGTATAATAAAAATTATTCAGATTTGTTCGTTACAAATCTGTTTTTTTTTCTTCATTTGGAATGAGATCTTTTAATCATCTTTGACAATGTATATTGAACAAGCTTTTACTTACCGATTTTTAGTTTATATATTTGTTTTTTACCTGTTGAAATTTTTCTTGATCAATGAATCGAACATGAATTAGTATAAAACGAAGTATGTCGAGTGTAAGAAAAAAGTAAGAAAGAATAAAGTGTGTCCAGTGTCTTTTTCTTTCTTAGCAATTTCAATAGACATCTGACTTTTTCGTTTTCTATAAAGAAAGAGAAAAAAAAGATATCAGATGAAAAAAAAACCGTTATTTGCGTTGACACTTGTGCCACGTGGATCAAATAAAAAACCAAAAAAATATGACCAATATATTTCAATTCGATTTTGTACAATCGATAGAAAATTTGATGAATTATTGTCAATGAAAGTCAAATGAAAAAATGTGTCTTTGAATCCAATTGTTCATTATTTTGATAATGAGAAAGAAGAGTTTTTTACTGAAAGAGAAAATTTCTTCTCAATCATTTAAGAATATTTTTCTCTAAAGAAACTCAAATCATCTTGGATTCAATTCTATTGAATAGAAATGATTTCATTTTTTTCCACTAATCAACAAAGAAAAATCATAATGCATCATCTAAATAATTCGAATGGTCATAGTTCTCGAATCTATGTTTTCAATGATGAAAAGAATCAAACTCAGCAATGTTTATCAAATTCTAATGGTCATATTAATCATTCAAATTTTGAAATAGATCTAAATTCAAATGAACAAACTTCATCATCTACTTCAATATCATCGACTAAATCGAAAAGATATGAGATTGATAATTAGAAGAAAATATTCAGATAGTTTTGTGATGAAATTTCTTTTGAATTAAATATGATTGAATTGAAGAGAAGAGAGAGATAAAATTAAATATTTCTGTTATTTATTTATTTATTTGTTTATTTATTTATCTATAGAAAATTATCAATATCATCATCAGAAACAATGAAAACTGATCAAGAAACGAACAATCCACCGAGATTAAAACCTTTTCGTATTGTAAGCTTATTTGTATTGATTCGAATGAATTTCATATTCGGTATTTTATATTGTTTAGTTTCGTTTTGCTGATATATGGGATATAATAATGATGATCATTGGGCTTCTAGCTGGTGAGTTAAGTTGATTCTTCGAAAAGATATTCAAAATAAGAATTGAATTATTTTTCTTTTAATCGATTAGCAATTGCAAGTGGTGCAACATACCCATTAATTTTTTTAGTTTATCAAAGTGTTATTGATTCATTTGTTTTAATTGGTCGAAATCAAACACAATTGGATTCAAATGAAACTGTTGGATTAGGATGGTAAATCTAATCTTAAATTTTTTATTTGAATCGATCAACAAAGAATTTATCACTTTGTTGTTTTGTTTTCTTCTATCTAGTCGAAATCAAACATCATCATCATTATCGATCACTGTAAATCAATCACCCTATGAGAAAATTCAATCAGTAATTAAATGGTATCCAATATTAGGTGCTTGTTGTTTTGTTCTCTTGTGGATTGCTTTCACGTGTTGGATGATTTCTGCTGAACGACAAGTTCGAAAAATGAGGTTTAGATTCTATTGATTTGTTTTTCTTATTTAATATTTATTCGTTTAGATATGCACTAATGAAAAATATTATGCGACAAAACATTGGTTGGTTTGATTGTCGATCACCAAGTGATCTTTCAGTTGGTTTACTTATTGAGTAAGGAAAACAAATAACGAGACTTTTTATCTCAATTGAGATATTTTCTTCTTTATGATTTGAGCTTTTTGAATTAAAATCTTGTCAAACACCAAAAGAAAAATCTTTGCATTGAAATTTCTGAGAAAGTTTTTTTTTTGTCATTAGAATAGGGAATCTTTAAATATTTCTTTGCATCGAACTTTTCGTTTTGTCTTCTGTTCGAAGAATTAGTCAACAAAAAAAAAGATAGAAAACATTTTTTTATTAGAATTGAACAAATCAAATAGTTAAGGTTCTATGATTTGAAGAAGAATTTCATGGATATATTGCATATGATTGTTATACTCTCAATGATTTCAAATGAAAATTGATGTGTTTGACTCTTTTTTTGATCAATAATAAAGTGCAGAAGAAAAAAAACAAATAAACATTTTCTTTGTGAAATAGTTGGTAAAGTGGTCAAATGTCGAAAGTGAGGATTTCGAAGCGTGTGAGTATACGGTGAAGATGTGCGTGCGGTTGTAGCTTTGGCGGTAACTGCAGTCTTGACTGCAAGTGAAAAGCAGGCCTATATCCCACCCTCTGTCACATCCTACACAATCACAATCACAACCACACCAGACCCACTTAAATCCATACCGGAACCCACAGACTGCTACAGACAATACCTGAAATGCTACAGGTGACACATGAAATGCTATGGACAACATCCAAGATGATACAGATAACACCAGAGACGCTGCAGGCAATATCAGCGATGCTACGGATAGCCCCCAAGACGCTGTAGATAGCACCTGAAATGCTACAAACAACACTCGAGATGCTACAAATAAAACCTAAGATGCTCCAGACAGCACCTGATATGCGACAGATAAGACCTGAAATACAGCAAATAACACTCTCGATTCTACAGAAACCACCTGAGACGTTCCAGTCAGCAACTCAGATGCTACAGACAACACCTGGAATGTCACAAACAACACCCGAGATTCTACAGCTAACACCTGAAATGCTACGGACAACGCTAATGTGCTACAGACAGCAGCTGAAATGGTACCAGTAGTATTTCCAGGTAGTCCCTAAAAGTTATTGGTAGTATGTTCAGATAATTCTGCAAAACTTACCTTGACTACGTGTGTTAGAATTAAGAATAGTCTAAACTTAATGTTTTCACTTTGACATTATTTAACTCCAATGGCAATAATGCTGAAGCATCTGTGTTACTAGTTAATGACAAGGCAAAACCATAAACCTTAGCAATAAATAATGCTAATGATAATTCTAATGCAATACTCTTATGCTCATTCCGTATCGACATCTACACTACATTCACATCACATCTGAGTTCGACAACATTTAGACGCCAATGCTTTTAAATTTTTTTCGCCATTTTCTGTTTCGACGTTTTCTTGTTCGACATTTTACCACCAAACCAAATAGTTGATTTGAATTTTGTTATTTTCTCTTGGATTATTTTGATTATTGAAGTTAAAGAGACAGTGATTTTTTTTTGTTTTTTATACGAAAGTAGAAAGATTGATTTCACTGTGTTTAGTGCATTAGATAATATTCGTGAAGGTATTGGTTATCAGTTAGCTGATTTCACTGCTCTTCTTGCTCGTGTTACTGGTTGTTTGGTTTATTCATTGGCAGTTGGATGGAAATTATCGTTAGTTTTCTTGAGTATTTCACCATTGATTATTATCACTTTCAACGTATCACTTGGTGTAAGTAGTAGAAATTTATTTTATTTTTCAATTTTAGGAAAAAGTATTCGATAATTCAAAAGATTTTTTTGCTTTTTATTTTAATGAATCATAGGTGATGAAAAAGTTTACAATTCTCGAAGTAGTAGCTTATAAAAAGGCAAATGCAATTGTTGATGAAGTGATTTCAGCTATTCGAACAGTTACTGCATTCGGAGCTCAAAAGCATGAATGTCGAAGGTAAAATCTATTCTATTGATTATCAATTTGACTTTGTTGGTATTTCAATTTTTATAGATATGAACAAAGTTTAACAGATGCAAAAGAAGCTGGCCTCAAAAGAGGTCTTCTACTTGGAATTAGTCAAGCATTTGTTAATTTGACTATGTATGGAGGCATTGCTTTAATATTCTGGTATGGACCTTATTTAGCACGTGTTGAATGTTGGAATTATGATGCTGGTATTGTTATTATCGTATGTTTATCAAGAATTAATTCTTAGAAAGAGAAAATTGAAGTGAATAAAATTTTGTATTGTTATTTGAATAGGTCTTTACAGCTTGCCTCTTTGCAACTCATAGTATATCGATGATAATTCCATATTTACTTTCTTTCGTCGAAGCTTCGGTTTCTGGTGCCAAAGTTTTTGCAACAATTGATCTGGTAAAGAAATATTCTAGTTATTCATTATTATTATCCCTCTGTTCAACAAAGATAAGACTGATTGAAATGAAATTCATATCACAAGAGAAACTCGAGAATTGTGATTAGAAACGAGGAACATTATAAGATATGCTGCCAAGTATTTGTAAGAAAGCTATCAGTTGAATCGAACATTGTTTAAAAGAAATCATTAGTGAAGCCGATTTCTTGACAATTTTAAAAGTTTTTTGTTTGTTCATTGAAAATATGTTCTTCGAACATGAATTTCACCATGTTTGTTGATTATAATTGTGATAATTATTTCATTCCAATCGATCGAATCTTTACTGAAAATCACAAAATAATCGATAAAGATGAGAAAAGAAATATCGCTCAAATGAATATCAGTCTTTTGATTGATTTGAAGAATTTTTTCATTGAAATTAGAAGACAAAAAAACTTTTTGAATCAAAACACAACAAGAAAATTTCAATTGAAATCTAATCGATATGAAATGGAAGAAAAACTAAACAATCGGAAATGTCAAATTTTGATTATCGAAATCTTTGGATTTAAAATTGTTTTGTATCTTATTTCTTCTACCAATTATCAATTCTCTAAACTTGTGTTCAAATTTTTGAATTGAAATGAAAGATTATTAACAATATTGTCTAAATATTTGCAATGATTTTTTTGTCCGTTTTTAGAAATCGCCCATTGACTATGCCAATCATCAAGGATATCAACCGACAATAATTGAAGGACATATTCAATTTCACAATGTCACTTTTCAATATCCATCAAGAAAAGAACCACAACCAGTAGGTTATTTATCGATTTGAACAAATCAATCGATTGATTTTCCTATTTGGATTCTATTTTAAGCTGAGGAATAGAATTTGTACTGTTGCATCAATCAATGTTTGATAAACATTGATTTGATTGCATGAGAGAAACAAAGAATTGTTAACGATGCAAATATGTTAAAGAAAAAGAAATAAGTTTTTTGTCTTTCGAAATTATTTTGTCAAATGAGCGAATTTGAAAAAGAGAAGTTCGAAGATCAACAATCGAAATGAATCTGTTGTAATTGGAGGTTTTTAGTCAAAGATTTGATTGATTTCTCTTTTTCATTCATAGATTTTAAGAAATTTGAATCTGAATTTTGCTTCAGGAAAGACAACAGCTATTGTTGGTGAAACTGGTTGTGGAAGTAAGTAGTTCAATGATAATAAAATGATTCGTCGAATTGAAAATGTTTGATTAAAACAGAAAGTACAATAATTCAATTGATTCAACGTTTTTATGATCCTGATCAAGGAGAAGTAAGTCGATTGATTGATTGGTTGATTTGGAATGGAAAGGAAAATATATTTGATTCGAATAGGTTTTAATCGATAATCGAGATATTCATCAATTAGATTTGAGTTGGCTTCGATCGAATATTTCTGTTGTTTCTCAAGAGCCAATTCTTTTCACAGCAACTATTGCAGAAAATATTCGTTTCGGAAATCTTTCAGCAACTAATCAACAAATCGAAGAAGCTGCACATATCGCAAATATTCATCAATTCATCATCAACTTACCTGAAGTATGAACAATTATCTTTTTCTTGATTCATTATTCATCTTGATTTCGAATTTTATTCAGGGTTACCACACTTTAATTCAATCAGGACGTTTATCCGGTGGACAAAAACAAAGGTTTGTGTTCATTGATTCGTCAGTGAGAAAACCTACATTTTCATCTTTAGAATTGCAATTGCACGAGCTATTTTATCAAATCCAAAAATTTTACTTCTCGACGAAGCAACATCAGCTCTTGGTATGTTGAAATGAAATCAAGAAAAGACAAAACTCATGTTTTTCTTTTTTCTTTTTTACTGATGGAATGAAGTGAAATCGAGATTTTTATTTAGATGCAAAAAATGAACGTGAAGTACAAAATGCTCTTAATCAAGCATCAAAAGGTCGAACAACAATTGTTATTGCTCATCGTTTATCGACGATTCGTCGAGCTGATCAAATTATTGTTCTAGACAAAGGTCAAATCAGTGAACAAGGTACTCATGAAGAATTGATGGAACGTGGCGGTTATTATGCTCAAGCTGTTCAAGCACAACGAATAACTGATGTTCGAGAAGATCAAGAAGAAGAAGAAGATAATGAGAACAATCAAGCATTCGGTAGGAACTCGAAAGTTCGATTTCTCAAAATTTTTCTTTAAGTTTTCTTTGACTTTTTATTTAAAATTTGAGATTTCACTCAGATGAAACTAATTCAGCTAAGTTCTTCTCTTAGAAAGTTTGTTTTCTTTCCAATAATTCTCGATTAGGAGTGAGAATTTATAGTTACTAATAACAATGACAACAACTTCTCACCATGTCTAACAGTAAGTAAGAGCAAGTTTCTTTGTTCATAGTAACATCTGTCATCATATTTAGATTTCTCAATATTGAGAATCTTTGGTTAAATCTTCAAAAAAATTCGAATCGATTCACATTTTATCGATTGTAAAGGTGAGAAGAAAAAGAACTTGACAATTCTCAAGTATTTGATAAACTTTTGAATCACATTTTCCCGCTTTTAGAAGCAATAAAATACGAATCGATCCAAAACCTTTTGAAGATTTAACCAAAGGTTCTCAGACTTGAGGAATTGACATCTGATGACAGATTTTACAATGGATAAAGAAACTTGTTCCTACTTACTACTATGCATGATGAGAAGTTATTGTTATTTTTATTAACAACCATAACTTTTCTCACTCCTATTCTTGATTTTTTTTACTTGTCACATCGTAATATTGAACAATTACGAGATGTTACAAATTTATTTACAGTACAATAATAAGAGCGTCGAAGTTCTGCTCTCGGCGAATTAAAAGAACGATTTGTATGAGACGATAAGAAAAGATTATTGAAGAAAATTGAAGATTTCTTGTGTTTGTTTTCTTTCATGTTCGAATAAAAATTGGAAGAAAAGTTCATGTTAAAAAAAAAGATTTTTGAATATTTGAATATCGATTCTGATTATTTTTAGGTTATTTACAACGACAAGATTCTCAATATTCGATTCGATCTGAAACATCTTTACTAGATAATAATGATGCAAATCTAAAGAACAATTTACCCATCCAATCGAAATGTTGTCGAAAGCCTTTCTTTTTACGAGTCCTCGCTCTCAATTCGCCCGAATGGTTTTCGATCTTCAT